TTAGCGTGACCCTAATCATTGGTCATGTGACAGATATCAAACATAACACATCTTCACTGTATTTGAAAAATAATGAGAAATTCATTAGCATCACAATTTGCCAGACTTTATCCAGACTGGATTACCAACTAGGCAAAGCTGACCTTTATTCTGGGGCCCCAGGTCCACTATTACAGTAGCACAATATAAGCTGGAATAATAAAGCTTTGAATTGGCCCTGTCTTGTAGAGCGACCTTGTGTCTAAGTCTAATTTTAAAACCTTTATCATATCAGTTCATATTTGGCGTTGATATATGCTTTCTGGCCGCCTTCACACTCATCAACAACTCTGGCACATATTCTAGCTTCAAGAGGACTTTAAGAGGTGTTAATTCAACTGTGTTTATTATCGAGGGTTGTAGTTAGTAGTGGTGGTGTTGTACTGGACTGCATTATATTGAGATGTGTTTCTAGTATCCCCTTTTGTTTGTAAATGGGGGTGAGAACATTAGACACACCCCTCAAATGCAAATTACAACTCCAATAATAAACATATAGTTAGATTAATACCTTGCTGACAGTGTGAACCAGAGCTGGACATTATTATGATCGATAGAGATAGATGGATACTTTATTTATCCCGAGGGAAATTCAAGATTATCTTTGTAAAGGTGGACTTTATGGCTGTGCTGCTGTACTGGATTGCATCGTATTTTACAGGTGTGCCTAATAAAGTGGCCACTGAGTGTATGGAGCCAACCGTGGGACAATATTTTTTTTATGCCAGTGTGGGAGCAATTTCTCCATTATTTCTAATCAATGAGCAGGACTACTTTATAGCGGTATTGGATATTGTTTTTCTTCTGAACTCTTCCAAGGAAATGTACTATTACTAAATAAATATACCATAATAGAGGATTTTATCTTTAGTCCTCACTACACACTGCATATCCCTCAGTACTGTTATGTTTTATCAAATTTACAGCATAGGAGTACTGGTTGGCTTCTCTGTTTTTGGGCAAAATCTTACAAAGTTACCACTTGTAGTCTGTAATGTGTATTTTACGTGGTTGGTACTTAATACAAATATATAAAAACACAATTATAGAAGGTGAAAACGGAGGTTAACAGGGACCCACTGAACAATTTTGTCACATCACACCCTATTGTCACACTTATTTTTAATAATTTAAGTCTACTAGTTGTGTCGTATGTTGAGGCATTTAGACGAGGAAATAGGACTGATGTCTTTCTTTTTGTGTGTTCAGTGCGAACTTGTGATGAACCTCAGTGCTGCAGACCGCTGTGCATTTGTGAAGAACACACCGGACTGTAGCATGGAAGATGGCTTCATCAGCTACCTTCGAGTGGCCTTCTGTCTGCTTCCTCCCAACCTCGTACCTCTCACCATCACTCTCTGTGTAAGCCTGTGTGTGTGGATAGTTTTCATGAAGAAGCAGCATTAAAAATCTTCATCTCAACACTGGCAGATCTTTTGAGGAAGTTGCATTCACTGCAGGAGAACCAGGAATGGTCAAACTTCTGATTTACCAACTATCATTTCACTTTTTGCTAAATAATGGGCTTTTGTAAGAATGTGTGAACTTCTTGAATTTCCCCTTTTTGCAACATAACGAATCAAGCGGTCACACTGGAAATACCTTTTTTAATCTGTGTGTGTAGAAACCAAATGGTCTATGTTAGAGATTAGGAACAACGGGATCAGTGTAGTTGAACAAGGTCATGTTTGTCAAGGTTTTGTTTGAGTACGACAGACTCCAGCAGCACTTCTATGTACTTCTTTGTGTGTAAAGAAAACAACTGTCTACCACACCTTTTACTTTCTTCTGTTTTTCCACAGGTTATATGGCTGCTATTTCTGTTTGTCATTCTTGGACTCGCAGCGTCTAAATTGTAAGTGTCTCTCATGTTTCCAGTGTCAATGTGTGTCCCACAAGCTCCCCTTCATCTGTCAAGGCCAGTCCGTAACAGCTAGCATAAGTTATTCATTCTTACTGACTGATTTTCAGCTATGGAGAGTGTAACACCACATTTACAGGCCCTAGTATGTCCAGGCTACCCACACACATTCATGTCCTCAGTGCAGTCAGCTTAATAGTCACATGACTGTAGAGAGCTTTTTGTCATTGTGAGATTTTTTTTGAAAGGAAGCACAGTTTGTTCTGTTTTTCTACCGCACCCACCCTCATTTCACACACTGAACACTTGTGAAGTACAGTCACTGAATGGTGAAGAAGCTGCTGTATGAGATGCTTTGCATTTCTCATGAGCATACTTGCCTCTTTTTCCCCGGTTTCTCCTCAGTTTCTGTCCCAACCTGTCAGCAATCTCTACCAGTCTGCACCTCACTCACAACGTGGCTGTATCCTTTTTATCAGTACGTCCCTCAGAAGTTCATGGTGTAATGCACAGTCAGTACAAATCAGTGAGACTGCTGATTCACCAGCACAGTTCCTCTCTCTGGTCTTTGCAGTTTCACTTGCTATACTTAAATTATGTCTTTGTGAAGAATATTTTCCTTGACTGGTGTTTGTGCTGAGGGTGTGACATTTCTGGCTCTTGGTAATGGAGCTCCAGATATCTTCAGTGCCATTGCAGCCTTCTCCCACCCACACACAGCTGGGCTGGCTGTCGGAGCCTTGTTTGGTAGGCACAGTTTCTCACACACACAAAGATAAATGAACTCAAGCTTTTTATCATGAAAATCGGTTGTGCCTGATCTTGCTCGCTTTCTCTCCCTCCAACAGGAGCTGGTATATTTGTCACCACAGTAGTCGCAGGCAGCGTGGCACTGGTCAAGCCTTTTACTGTGGCCTCGCGTCCATTTCTGCGTGATGTCATCTTCTACATGGTGGCAGTGTTTTGGACTTTTTTCATGTTGTACAGAGGAACCACGACACTAGGCGAAATACTTGGTAAATACACACACACACACACATATGGTTCGATACGAGAGTATGTTGTGTCTTCTTGATCAGATTCTTAGTTGCATATTGGTCTTCTTTGGCATTTCTATTGAACCGTCAATGAGGTATATTGACAAATACATATTTAAAGTAATAATGTACCACATGTAAGACACTTATTCTATGCTACTGGTAGACTTTACAGAAAAGGATGTTTTTCTTCTGTCCCTAGCCTCAGAAATGCTCCTCCTGCTTCAGAGCCATTTGGTTGTGTGTTAGTTACCCATCAACATATTTCACTGAGGCTTTATTGAAAGTTAGGCCATGAGCCAAGACAAAAAGTGATGTTAGTTTATTTATTTTTTTTACAGGTACAGGACGTTTTTGACATTAAATCTAAAATCTTCATACATTTATATAAATCTAACACCCATGATTTTCTATCAATATGTCTTTTATTTTCTTAAAAATGTAGAGGATTTTGCAGCCTTGCAGGGTGGTGGTGTGTCTCAGAGTGCTTTTTTGTTCTGGTGCCAACATCCACCGCCTCAGGCTGCAATCTTAGCCAAAAACAATCCCAGAATGCAGTTCAAAGAGTCACCCAACCAGATTCTGTGAATCATCGACTCTTCTGGTGGCACATGAGGCCACTTGCAATCATCATTATCCCACATCCATATTTAGATATTTCCACACAAACTGCAGACTGCATTGTACAGTGTGCTGTGTATGTAACCATGTATCAAGTTTCAAGCTCTCAGTATTTTTAAACACACTGTGACATTCTCAACTTCATCTCCTTTTTCTAGGGTACCTGGCCCTCTATGTGGTGTATGTATTGACTGTTATCATCAGCGCGTACATCTACAACCGGCAAAAACATTCGATGAACTCAAGTGTCCGTAATGTTGCACATATCCCAGGTTAGAACCTTAAATACATATATATACACACAGGCAATAAAACCATAATTGGCAGTGATTCTAGCTTTTGTTTTTGCTTCAGAGTTTCACTCGTCTGACTCATCTGACGAGGACGTGCCCTGCCTGACTGGTGGGACCATCCAACACGAGTATGGTAAGAATGCAGGACATTTATAAACCACAATATAAGTTAATATGCACCAGGAGTTTTCTGCATGATCAGGGCCATAACGTGCACGTGTGTGTGTGTTTCAGTCTCAGAGTACAGGCCACTTCTGCCTTACTCTGAGTCCACAGGTAAGATTCTGCTGACCTCACTGAACCCGATCGACAGCAGGAAGTGGAGGAGGAAATCATGGAGCTGGAGAGTCCTCAAAGTACTGAAGGTGTGTGTGATGGTAAACAGATACAAGGAGCAGTGTAAAAAGCTCAATGTCTATATTAATCTGGTTGGTACACCAAGTCAAAGTACTGAAAATCTATTCAAAACAGTTCTTGTAATGTTAATTATCTTACCCATCAGACACCTCTAGAGGTGCTGCTGCTGCTCTGTATTCCTGTGGTCGACCCTGATAAAGAAGACAAGAACTGGAGACGTCCACTAAACTGCCTTCATCTGATCACTGCTCCCCTGGTGTGTGTGCTCACCTTCCAGTCTGGAAAATGTAAGTGCATCAGCTTTCATGATAAAGGCAGCATGACATACTGTAGCAGCCATAGTCAGTAGTAATCATTTTTTTCCCCCCTTAATTTATGTCTAGATGTAGATTATTTGATCCAAGGGCAGTTTCCCCTCTGGGTGCTGATTCTGCTGTTGGGACTTTTCCTGTCTGCTATTGTCTTCTGCACCACCACTAATGACTGCCCCCCCAAATATCAGCCAGTAAGTATCTGTGGAGAAGGAACAGACATTGTCCAAAATATAAAGGGGGTAGGGTGGATGGGGGTCAGGGAGTGCCACCTTCAGGTCTTGTACACATATAACAGGATGTAATCATTTATAGTTGTCAGTCTACAGCTCATCTACATGCTAGCAGCTCTGTGAGGCTCCACTGAGGCACAGCAAATGCTTGGAGTTAAATGCCGACATAAGCATGCTAACGTTTGCTAATTGGCACTAAACACAAAGTACAACTGAGGCCGATGAGAATGTCGTTAGTTTATGAGGTATTTGGTCATAAACTCAAGAATTGGACAAATAAAAAATGTGACCTGGTGGCGGTGCTAGATGAAAAGTTAGAGGATTGACAAAGCCAGTATGCATCATCTTCCGGGGACCACAAATATCATATCTGTACCACATTTCATGGCAATAGTTAATAGTTAATTATATTTCTGGACCAAGCAACACTGCTAGTGTGGCTATAAATATATTTACTAGTGACTGCTCTTACAACATTTGTATTACTAGATTGGAAACGTGTAGTGTCTTATTCACGCTCTGATGATAGAATCACATGCACACCCGCAACAGATTTCAAGTTTGTCTCTTTCCCTCTCCAGGTATTTGCTCTTTTAGGCTTTGTGGTGAGTGCAGTGTTGATCAGCGCTGCAGCCTCTGAAGTGGTCAGTCTTCTGCACATGCTCGGTGTGGTGCTGAGTCTCAGCAACACTGTGCTGGGGTTGACTCTGTTGGCCTGGGGCAACAGCATAGGAGGTGATATATATATTTTTTATTGATATATAACCAATTTCTTTTTTGCAAAACATATATGATGCTTGTACTTAATATATTTAACACATGAAGTGTATATATGTTTCTTTTTCAGACTGTTTTTCAGACATCACCATTGCCCGGCAAGGTTATCCCCGGATGGCCATATCTGCCTGCTTTGGAGGCATCATCTTCAGTATCCTTATTTTTATATGAGTATGTGTGAGGCATGTGTAACAGTGGCTGGTAATGACTGCATCCTTGACTGTATGTCCTTCAGACATGCTGTGTGGAGTGGGTTCAGGGTGTCTGCTACAGATGCTTAAAACACACTCGTTTGTGCAGGTAATCTCCTCCTCAAACACACATCAAGAGTTTATAATTGTGGTCAAACATACAGAGAAATATAGAAGTCGCAGATACATCAGACTGTTTTGGAACATGAAGATGATGATGATGATGATGATGATGATGATGATGATGCATCTTTTGTCTCTTTCTCTTCCTCAGTTTGAAGTAGAGGGTTTGTTGACATGGGTTCTAGCAGGATCTCTTGGTTTGTCTTTGGTCCTGTCCTTCGTCATTGTTCCACTGGGCCGGTTCCACTTGGGTCGGACCTACGGGATCTTTCTCCTAGTCTTTTATGTCATCTTTCTTCTCATTGCACTACTCACAGAGTTTGGTAAGATCCACTAATGTGTCAATCCTCCCTTGATGCAAAAGGACACACTGGAACAGAGGCTGCAGAAGAATGGACATCCACTTCTACGCATAATATTAATGCACTATTTATACAAGAATCCACACTTTGTGCACTTGCCTACTACCCAGAGCCACCCTGTGGGGGGGGTTTCTGAAACCAAGCAGGCAAATCAATGACTTCTCTGCTCAGGGAGAGCTGAAAATAATCATCACACTGTGCCTTTATTCAACCTGTTGTTTGTGCTGACTGGAGCTGCGATGGCACTTTGTGAATCCAGAGGGAAAACACAGGTTGTAGAAATTTGTACTTTAAACATTGTAAATTAACTAAATGTACTGTAAATCAAAATGTTAAAATGACCCTGTACAAAGCTGCTTTGGGGGAATTAAATAATTTGGTTTGGTATTTGTTTTTACAGGTCATACAGTAGTAATGCTAGTCTTTCCTCACTTTCTGTGTTAAATTATTGTAAGTTAATAAGCAGTTACCAGCAGTATTATACAGCAAAAATACATCAATGACAATTTGAACAGTTTAATAAAATCCCTTATTAACTAACTCAAATACATTACAGAGTAAGAAGTTATATAAAAGTAAAATATTTTCAGTCTGTAGAGACATTAGTTAGGAGATACACCGTATTGGCTTTGTTGGATTGAGCTAAAAGGAGTGTAATTGTTTATACTTTTGGTCTTTAGATAACTTAAGTTGTGTCTGTGTTAATACTCATCATATGGGCCATTAAACTAAGGCATCAGGTTTAAGTACTACATGTCTTACAAGAGGTCACAAAAGGCCTACAGCAGTATACGTACACAACATACTGTAGTACTACAGGCTCCCTGGTAGTATTTGCTGCAGTCTTTGAAAAGGCCAAAAGAGGGCAACATTGCCACTTCACTGGTCGAGCGACAGACCTGTCTTTCTGTCTGTAGTGTCATTAACACGTCTCACTCTTGCATCAGTCCAAAAGGCCCCGGACTTGTTTCCCACTGTGGCAAATGTGGAGCGTGGGGGAAGTGGAAAAGATCTGGAGTGATTGGGGTTTTGTAGCATTTAAAACACTGAGATGGTGGCGCGTATGTACCGCTCGCGAACTGTGCGTTAGTTGATGCTGTGAGGTCCAGTCTGTGAGTTGAGCTGAGGCTCTGGAAAGGAAGACGGTTCAGAGACGGGACTGTCCAGTTCCCGCTCCAGGCTTTGGTCTGGCTGAGGCAAGTTTTCCCTCGAATACTCTGCATACCACTCCTGGAGGAACAACGTGTAGAAGAGGTTATGAGGTTACCTGAGACCAACTACTGTTTCGGTATGCAGGATTATTTAGTTAGTTCTTTTACCTGTATCTCCTCCTCGTACATTTTAATACTGAGGTCGCTCTTCGTCCTAGACCTACGACCTAGGTACACAAGAGATGTGTGCTGTACACACCAAAGCAGGAGGGAAAGCTGGTTAGTGGGACTTCATTTGAAGAGCAAAGAACAAAGAGTTTATTGTGTGTGTTTGTGTTCATTCTTACCCCACCCCTGTCCATTGCTTGTAGGACTCCCTGCAGAGAGCTGAGGGAGGACAGTCCTGGGCAGGTCTGTTTGTACAGCTCCAGAGTGGCCAGAGCTTCGTCACGACTCACCTCCACTTCAAATACTATCCCGTTCTCATCTAGAGCATGAACACACACACAGACGTTACAATGACTCACGCCACACTGTACTTCACACAATCATGGCAGCTAAATATCAATCAAATAAGCATTTTATCTGAGTTTATGTGGAAGAAATACTCCAAATATTAAAGAATACATGAAGGCTTTTGTTCTAAAGTGCTATACATTCTCTATATGTGTCCACACGTGCACTCAAAGACACACACACACACACAGAGGACATTACATTGACTTGCATTCATTTCCTGGAGAATCACCTTAACCTAACCTTAAACCAAGTCTTCAACCTAAAAATGAATGATTTACATTATGGGGTTGTTGGATGGGTTTTTTCCTTAAAATGCCCTGTAGTGTGAGTGTGTAAACACATTTATGCCCCTAAAACATGAGTTACACTTGTTCCCACCTTCTGGGTTCTCCAGTGGTTCCCGGTTCTTGCGGCTATAGTTCATGCGGAACACAAACGCATCGAGAATGAACGCCACAATGATAGTCATCACCACCTGGAGAGAGAACAAACAAAAACCACACACACATCACATCCACAAGCACTGCATATAAAGACACATAAATGCAAAAATGCAGGGCACATTTCCACAGACATATCACATATGACTGCACAGGCCTCACCATAGTGACTATGTAGAAGGTCATGAAGTAGAGCCGGCTCCAGTGACTCGTCATTGAAGTGACTCCTTCCTGTGAGAGAGAGTGAATAAACAGCAGTCAAACAGTGATACCAGCTGATCAGTGACAAGACAGCAGAGAGACCACAGATAAATGATTTGATCTTACCATGGTAATGTACCAGTTATTGACCACAGTCAGCTCAAACAGAGTCACTGCAGAGACATAAAACAAGAGGAATCCAAAAATGTTAAAAAAGAAAGTAAATGGACACACCAAGAGACAAAAAAAACACCTTCATTAGCATGAACTTGCTAAATTCATACTCCCCAACAAAAGTGCTATTTACTCCTGTTAGAGTAACTGATTATAAAAAGTACAGTGCCTAACTGTTTAAGCTTTTTAAAAAAAAATTAAACTACATACT